GAGACAAAAACAGAATAAAATTTACTTTGTAAAAGCAGTCAGGCTCAGGTTCGTGCTCTAGCCCATAGATGAGGCTATTCAGAATAATAGCGTTATGGATTCGCTTAATTGACTCAATTGATATTAAAATTAGGTGTTGACATACATGGAGAGTAGGGCAATCATTCAGTATAGGAAAGACCAGAAAGTCCAAAAAGCTTCAATATATGATACGAAATTCATTAAACGAATAAAATAAAAAGTTTGCTCGAGACTGGCAGGCAATTGAAGGATATATATATATATACAAATATAAAAAACTATAAATGCTATATTTCGGCTGTAATATATGCCCTGTTTATTTTGGGAGGCTCTCTGGGACGATCAAATTGGTCAATCTCTACCATGCCCAACCGCTGAACAACCTTCATTCCTAAAGCTATTCTGCCGAAGATTGTGTGATTTCCATCAAGCCACTGGGTTGGGGCAAGCGTGATGAAAAACTGGCTGCCATTTGTATTTGGTCCAGCATTTGCCATGGAAAGTATACCAGCGCCTTAAATAATGGTAAAGGAATATATTACCTGAATGCTTAAGATCCGGGTGGATTTCATCAGCGAAATACCGCCCATAAATAGATGCCCCTCCTCTCCCGGTACCTGTGGGGTCTCCGCCCTGTATCATAAAATCCCTTATTATCCTATGAAACGTAATTCCATTGTAGTAGCCACGTTTGCTTAATTCAGCGAAATTATGACAGGTTTTTGGTGCATGCTTCCAATAAAGTTCAATTATGAGTGTACCATGACTAAAAGATAATAAGAATATAACAAACCTTGTCTCGAAGGTAATATAAGGAGGTTGCTCCTGGGATGCCATAAGAAAAATGCGGGCTAATCACGCTAGCTGATGCCAAAAAGTATACAGATTAGCAAAATTATTCGTTAAAATATTTGGTATAATCTATCATAAAATAATATTTATTTAGAAAATAGGTTATAAATTTTTCTTTTTCGGTGAGTCTATTTATTTTCATTATGTAAATTACTAGCGCTATTATATGACAAAGAATTGATAAATTATATTTATGTAGAAGTATAATTCTTTGGAATTCTGGATTTCCCCCCAAAATTCTCATTAGTATACAAACCTAAAAATGCTATGCGTTGACATAATATTCCTGCCTATCAAGTAAAATCCAATTGCTTGACCAATAAAAGCTGTTCGAAATTAAAAGTTTGTCTTAGGTTAAAAGGGATAATAGTTTGGTGGCAGGTGAAATCGAAATAAATTCACTGCAAAAAAATTGTGTTTGTGTGGCATTTTATCTTTTAAAAAATCTGCATTGAAATTTTGAAAAACATTGCAATATCCAAATCAGCTAATACTGAAATTGCACTGTCACTGGATATACAATTAAATAAACATATAAATATTACCTCGTAAAGTATTGGTTTGACCTCATTTCGCGACTTG